AGTTCTTAGAGCTGTTAGCTCTTAGCTTCTGATAATTAAAGTAAGCTATGTGTAAATACCGAGTGAGAGAATACTAATGGATCATGGATTATATATGCAACAGTTAAACTTTTTTATTAGCTAAGATTTTCATCTGGCCTAATTTTTTTGCCCTTTTCTTTTGTACGTGAGGATTCCTTCATTTGTATGTAATAGAAACAAAAGGTAAAGTAGATGAAAGCTAAAATTTTAGATTTGACTTTATGACATTAATTGTGCCAGATAATTTAAATTACAAATTATTGAAAATAGTTTCTTTAAATGTAATTTTGTCTCATTTTACATAGGAGTAATCACTAAGATGTTAACAACTACTTTTATTTGATGGTATTCGTGTCAGAAGTGACCAGTTTGTTTTTTTTTATTCTTAGTTGTAGAAATAAGAAGAAGCAATTGTACAAACCATGTAAGTAAACAGTCAAATAGTTAAGAAATGGATAGTTTGACCGTAAAGTTGTCTTTCTGAATTTCTTTTAAATTAGCAATGGTGGCCAGTGGGGTACATGGGACCTCTTTTTGTGGATTTTCTAACTCCTTCCTATTTCCCTAAGTATTAAATTATATCTAAGAAAATCTTTAGTTTAGTGTGGTCGACCTTTAAGGAGTCTGATATTTAGTTACATTTCAATAAGTCCCTGGTGTGGTAAAAAGATTGCCTAAGGCTGGGCAATGTACTCAAGCCTGTATCGCCAGCACTTTGGAGCCAAGTGCGACAGATCATCTGGAGGTCAGGAGGTTCGAGCATCCGTGACCAACATGGTGAAATTCGTTCTACGCAAAATACAAAATTAGAGGCCAGGTGTGTGGCGCATGCCTGTAAACTCAGCTACTCAGAGGCTGAGGCAGGAGAATCACTTGAACCTGGGAGGCAGAGGTGCAGTGAGCCGAGATGGTGGCCATTGTGCTCCAGCCTGGCGAGAGAGTGAAACTCTGTCTCAACAAAACAAACAAAACAAACAAAAAAACTGCCTTAAATATTTAATCTTATTTTTTTTTTTTTTTTTTTTTTTGAGACGGGAGTCTCGCTCTGTAGCCGGGCTGGAGTGCAGTGGCCGGATCTCAGCTCACTGCAAGCTCCGCCTCCCGGGTTTGCGCCATCCTCCTGCCTCCAGCCTCCCAGTAGCTGGGAACTACAGGCGCCGCCACCGCTCCGCCGGCTGGTTTTTTTTTTTTGTATTTTTAGTAAGAGACGGTTTTTCACCGTGTTAGCCAGGATGGGTCTCGATCTTCCTGACCTCGTGATCCGCCCATCTCGGCCTCCCAAAGTGCTGGGATTACAGGCTTGAGCCACCGCGCCCGGCCGAGGTTCTGAAATTTTATAACAACAGCTTGGTGGGAGCCAGGCACAGTGGCTCATGCCCGTAATCCCAGCACTTTGGGAGGCTGTGATGGGTGGATCACAAAGACAGGAGTTCGAGACACGTCTGGCCAATACGGTGAAACCCCATCTCTACTAAAAATACAAAAACTAACGAGGAGTGGTGGTGTGCGCCTGTAGTCCCAACTACTTGGGAGACTGAGGCAGGAGAATCACTTGAACCGAGGAGGCGGAGGTTGCAGTGAGCCCAGATTGCTCCACTGCACTCCAGCCTGGACAATAGAGTGAGACTCCATCTCAAAAAAACAAAACAAAACAAAAAAAACAGTCACAGCTTGGTGGGGATCTTCTCATTTTATTGAGGCTACTAAACCTGCAGACTGTCTCTTCTTGAGAATTTTTTTATGTTCCGTTACTTTTTTATCGATAGTCTTGTTATTCAGATGCTAGCCTGCTTAGACCACTATACAGACATTGGTTTTTAATTTTTCCCCTTCTATTTTTTTCAGTTTGTCTTTTTATTCCACTTCTGGGATATTCTGTGATTTTATCCTCTACATTTTTATTGAATTTTATATTTTTGAGAGTATTTTAAGATTTTTTTTTAAGTTTTTCTCCTGATTTTGACTGGTCTCATGAATTCCTTTTGTCTGTTGTTTTGATCTCTTCTGTTGGAGGCTTCCCTCCCATGTGTGGTGGTCCCTGGTCTGCTTTATTTGGAAGCAGGACTTTCTGTTAACTGATAGTGCTCAGTGTGAGGTTTTTCTGGCTCAGAGATACCATGGCCTAAACCTGGGATATGTGGTTTGGGATGGGAATTGTGTTGAATTTGTGATTGCTTTTGGCAGTATGGTCCTTTTCACAATATTCATTCTACCGATTCATGAGCATGGGATGTCTTTCCATGTGTTTGTGTCCATGATTTCATTCAACTATGGTTTGTAGTTCGAAGGGCATATCAAAAAAATAATCCAACCTGGCGCGGTAGCTCACGCCTGTAATCCCAGCACTTTAGGAGGGCGAGGCAGGTGGATCAGGACGTCAGGAGTTTAAGAGTAGCCTGGCCAACATGGTGAAACCCTGTCTCTACTAAAAATACAAAAATTAGCTGGGTATGGTGGTGCGTGCCTGTAATCACAGCTACTCAGGAGGCTGAGGCAGGAGAATCGCTTGAACCTGGGAGGTGGAGGTTGCAGTGAGTCAAGATTACACCACTGCACATTCCAGCCTGGGTGACAGAGCAAGACTCCATCTCAAAATAATAATAGTAATAATAATAATCCACCATGATCAAATGGGTTTCATACCAGGGATGCAGGGATGGATTAACATACACAAGTCAATGAATGTGATACACCACATAAACAGAATTAAAAACAAAAAATCACATGATCGTCTCAATAGACACAGAAAAAGCATTTGACAGAATGCAGCATCCTTCTATGATTAAAACCCTCAGCAAGATCGGCATACAAGGGTCATACCTCAATGTAATAGCCATCCATGACAAACCCACAGGCAACATAATACTGAATGGGGAAAATTTGAAAGCATTCCCCCTGAGAACTGGAACAAGACAAGAATGCCCACTCTCACCACTTATTTATTTTATTTTATTTTATTTTATTTTATTTTATTTTATTTTATTTTATTTTATTTTATTTTCAAACATAGACTTTACTAAATGCTGCTCAATCTCCCAGTGAAGATCTTTCATTACAAAACAATTTTCCACACACCTACAAGTTAAGAGATTGGAATGGTACTCTGATAACAAAAGATGTGAGAAATACTTCACCAAGTAAAAACACAAAAGACCTCTGTACAGTCAACCTTTTCAGAGCTCTACAGAGGAAGCCTACTGCATTTCCTTTAAATAAAGCCAGGCAGTGACAACTAGTGCTCTGTATCACCACACTGTGGGACTCAAAGCCTCCATCCCTAGGTCAGGAGGGACTAGGTGAAGGGCAGGTCATGAGGACTGGAAAGGCCCTGCCTTCAGCCTTTGAGAGGAGGAGAAGGAATGAGTTGAGAGGCAAGCTGGGTCATTCACCTGAGCTGCCTCTACCCATCCGTTACCACTCTGGGGAATTGCAGAGGAAGGGGGATATTCATGAGGAACAATCTGAAGAATTTTGGTTTACTTTCCCAGCTTTTATTTATATTTTGTGCTTTAAAAAGCCTGGAGATTTAAGGTTTTATCTAAATTCCAGAGTACAGTAATATATTTCTTGAGGAAGGGGTTAGGGCAGGTAATTCCCCCATCATATTTCTGGATGAGACAAAGAGAAGGGTAAGGATGATACCTCAGTTTTATTTTAGGAAGTATTCTTTTTCCTAGGATGTAACTAAGGTTTGCAGCAGTCACTCTCACCACTTCTATTCAACATAGTACTGGAAGGCCTAGTCAGAGCAATCACACAAGACAAAGCAATAAAAGGCATCCAGATCGGTAAAGAGGAGGTCAGACTTGCTGTTTGCTGATGATATATGATCATATACCTAGGAAACCCTAAAGACTCTTCCCAAAAGCTCCTGGAACTGTTAAATGAAGTCAGGAAAATTTCAGGAGACAAAATTAATGTACACAAATCAGTAACTCTGTTATACCCCAACAGCGACCAAGCTTATAATCAAACCAAGAACTCAACCCCTTTTATGATAGCTGCAAAAATAAAATAAAATAAAATACTTAGGAATAGACCTAACGACGGAGATGAAAGACCTCTACAAGGAAAACAACATTAGTATTTTTAATGGGTTAAAATGAGAGGCAGCAGGTACAGTGGAAGAAATCAGTGGGTGGGCTTCGGTGTCCAACAGGTACTGGACCTTTGATGGTAAGGCTTTTTTTTTTTTTACTTACTAAGTTACTAGGTACTATTATTTTCTAGTTTTTGTCATTAAACCTTAAAACTACTAAGTAACCCCTTCCATTTATTGTTAAAGAGCGTAAAATTTCATACTCTAATTTATGCTGACTGACGTTATTTGTTTCTATTTTGTGACTACCTTAAATAATACCTATAAATAGTAAACTGTTAGTAATGTTTTTGCTGTAATTGAATGTAGTAAGATTTATCTTCCAAATGATAACCAAATTGTCAAACACTTGTCAAAGTTTTGGATTTACTCAAAATTCTATGCTCAGCAGCTGGAGATAGGAAGAGTAGGGGCCCTCCCGTACTCTTATGGAGAGGCGTACTTTCTCATGAGGGGAATACTCTGCAAGAATTCGTATCTTGTTAGCAGTGGTGACTTCAACTAACTAGTGTACAAAAAGACATGTATTGGTGTGGCTGCCAACAAAGAGATCCAAGAGGGTAGATGGAGTCGAGCTTGCTGAAACAAGGAAAGAGAAAAGCAGTATTCTAGGCAGAGAGCAGGATTGGAGCAGGAAAATGGCTAGGTGCAGGTCAGATGATTTATAGAATGAAATGGATCAAGTTTTGAAATGAATGGAAAATATTCTCTGAGAGTCTCATTTGAGTCACGTCATGGCAGTCTTATTTAAACATGAAGTGAAAGTTAAATTTTTTAAGTTGTCATCTGTTTTCAGGGTGTGAGAGAATATTTAAGTGATACTCTTTTTATCCTCCACATAAGAAAATAGGACTAGAGAAACCTATGGCTTCCTCACTTGTTGGTGGCCTAGCAGCCCTAACACACAGAGCCTCTGAATCTGAAACACTTGTTTTGTCACAATATCACCTGAAATAATACATTTAGGATGAATAATTTAGTAAATGCATTAGTCTTGTAGTCACTGCAATAAAATGCTCTTGTACCAGTATTATTTAATGCATTACATTTTATCGTAGTAAATAAATCATAGAAATAGAAATTCTCAGCTGCTTTATATTGCTGTAGGAAAAAACAATGAAATCTTATTTTAAACTTTTCTCATGATTTTTAAAGGGAATTCATAAAATCCTTGTTAGGTTTGATGACAGGTACCATATTAAGGGCAGCATTTTATAACCCGTATCTTAAACATCGTCTCTGGAAGTTAAGAGCCTCCAATGGGTTTTCTATAGAGTGCACATGATACCGCACTCAGGCAGTTCATGGACTGTAAGAAATATCTTAGTGCTTTGTCATCTGACATTTTAACCAAGAAAAAAATACACTTTGATAAGTTTAACTTACACTTCCCTTCCCCTTCAGGTATCTACTGTGCGTTTCAGTCAACAATACAGCTCATGTTCGACAATACTCCTTGATGACAGCACAGCCAGCCAGCCTTATCTTACAATGACAATAATATCGTAAGTACAACTATACTGCCAAGAGACAGATTCCTTTATTCTAAAATTATTTCAGCCATTTGGTTGTCCTCTTCCATAATCAGTTTAAGAAATTACAATCAACTATATATTATTGATATCCAGATTCTAAATATTAAGTATCAATTTATCTTTTAATTTTAGACTTCCTGGTGGAAGGAAAAAATCAGTTAGCAGAGAAGCAATCCCAGAAACAGTGTATCTTTTTGATGCCTTTATGCCTTTAGACAATGTTGAGCACAGTGAGAAGGATAGGTTCCCTTTATTGAATGTGTTTTGTGAAAACTTAGTGTTTCAATGCATTATAGGCCTAAATCAGTGTGTACTACTTTGGACATTAGCCTGGGAAGAAGGAACAGCTTTTCCTCTTCTGGCGCCACAGTGTATCTGCATTTGAATTTCTCCCATTGTGCATGAGCACCTCGTGGGCCACAAAGATGCGCTTTGAGAGCACCCTGAGATGAAGCTTATTTTAAAAGGAACAACCAACACCAGCACCAGCTCCATAGGGGCTGTCCAGTGTACATTATTATCATCTCCTTGGGATAGGAGTGTTGATTTTTAGAACACAGTTTGGAAAGTGCTAATTTATTAGAACACAGTTTGGAAAGTGCTCATTTAGAATATTAATGTCTTTAATTTTACTATTCATTCTGTAAACGTAACTAGCTTATAAACAATTTTGTTTCAAATGCACTAGCCTTTTTAGCGAATTCAATTGTCAGTAACTTTTACTGCAATTAAAGATGGCAAGTTTACACTCATAATAATGTCACTTTTCTCCCTCCATTTCAACAATAGTTATGATGAAATTGTGTTTCCGCAAAAACTGGACTCAAACTCTGTCTCAAGTCCTGAGCTTTGGGACCTATTGAGTAATCACTAAATGTCTGTAGTCAGCCGAGTCTCTTAAATCTTTGAGCACACATACACAAAAACTGCTTTACCTAGAGTCCCTGGCTTC